AGTATGGTACTGGCAATAAAATAGACACATGGATCATTAATGGAACAGAATAGGAAAATCCAGAAATGAAAAAGCACAATTATATAGGTGGTCAATTAATCTTTCAACAGATCAGGAAAGAATATCCAGAAAAAAAAAGAGATAGTCTCTTCATCAAATGGGAAGCTGGGAAAACAGAAAGGACCATGAAAAGAAAGAAAATGGACCATCTTCATTAATTATATGCACAAGAATAAATTCAAAATGGATTGAAGACCTAAAATGTGAGGCCTGAAACCATAAAAGTCCTAAAATAAGCACAGACGGTATTTTGACATAATATAGCAATATTTTTCAAGATGCTTCCTGAGGCAAGGGGTGTGGAAACAAAGTAAAAAAATATTATTGAGATCATATCAAAAGAAAGAGCTTCGCAATAAAGAAGGAAACAACCAACAAAACTAAACAATAACTTTTCTGAATGGGAGAAGATCTTGCAAATGACTTGATCTGATAAAGGTTAGTGTCCAAATATATAAAGAACTTAAACACCCCAAAACCAAATAATCCTAATTAGAAAATGGGTAGCAGAAGATGAAAATTAACAGATGTCACCAAAGGGACAAATAAATGGGTCAACAGATAACGAAGATGCAACAAGATCAATGTATAATCAGGGAAATGCAAACCAAAAAACTACTAATAATTCACATTCATGAATGCATAAAATTAAAAACACAAGAAACGTTGGCAAGATGTGGAGAGAAAGGAACCCTCTTGCAAGGTCATGCTGGGAATGCAAACTGGTGCAGCTACCTGGAAAACAATAATATGGTGCTTTCCTCAATGTTAAAAAATAGAACTACTCATCACAACACCATAATCACACTACAAAGTAAGAGAGCTTTTGGTATAGAACTCAAAATACAGAAAGATTAATTCAAAGGATACATGCATCCCAATGTTTGTCACAACATTATTTACAACAAAGGGCAGCCCAAGTGTCCACTCATCAATAGATGAATGGATAAAGAAGATGGTGGTGTAGTATGTGTTCTAAAAATTAGCGTAATATGTGCGTACTGGTTCTCCATTATGAAAAGAATGCAACCTTGCAGCGCCATTTGCAAAAAAAAACACATGGATAAAGCTACAGTATAATGCTACAAAATAAGTCAGTCGGAGAAACATCGCTGGCAATTGATATGATCTCACTCATATATGTGGAATTTAAGTATCAGTGCAAAACAAATGAGCAAACAAAAAAAAAAAAGAGAGAACAAAAGCAATAATCAGAATAATAATATTACTATAGAGAACAAACTGATGGTTGCTCAGTGGGAGTGGGGGTGTGAGTGGAGGAATGGGTGAAATAGGTGATGGGGGATTGGAAGAGCACACACTTTCATGATGAGAGGGGGAGTTGAATCAGCATATATGGTACACACCTAAACTAACATAACACTCGTTAACCATACTGAATTCAAGTAGAAGCTTGATAAACAGACAAACAAACAAAAAAAACACAAATCTTTTAAAGTAATACGTAAAATATTCATCAAGATAGATCACTTGTTAAAAGGGGCCTTAAAAATACCCAAGTAAATACATATTTAAAATAAAATATTGAATTTTCCATTGTGAGAGCTTCTCATGCAACCAAAATTAGAAACTAACAGCAATAATAACTGTGACATTAAACAAAACAACATACTTTTTTTTATCAATGTTAATGCTAATTTTTGGAGAGAGAGAAAAGAGAGGAAAGGGGCAGAGAAAGAGGGACAGAGAGAATCCCAAGAAGCATTCCTCAGTGTGTATTTCCGTCATAATTTGGATGATCTCTAATTTGGGAATCGAGATCATGACCGAGCTAAAAAATCAAGAGTTGGATGTAACGAGCCACCCAGGTAATCAAAATACTTCTAAATGACCACAGAGTCAAAGAAGAAAAGCACAATATTACCTAATTTGAATGATAATGAATATGCAAATATTAATGCCAAATTTTTTGTGAGATGTAGTTATATCGTCCTTAGAGAAAATTCATAACTCTAAACGCCTCATTAGAATAGAGAGCTAAAAAGAAATATTAAATAGTCCATGGTGGGGACCAAAAGCTACTTCTTGAAAATAGGAAATGAATTTTTGATTTCTTCCAGATAAAAAAAACAAAAGAAGTCCAACCAAACAAAATCTGATATCACCTTCTCATTCCAATAGGGTAGGTAGCTCCCACTATACTGAAGCTGCTCAATCATAAGACACAAAGATTATCTTTGACTCTTCTCTTCACTGTTTTATGTAAGACCCATTGGAACGTTGCTGACTGTACCGCAGTAAAAATATACCTAATATTTTGAATTTCACCACACCACTTCCATCATCATTACCTACTCCCTGCCATCATCACCAATGACATGGTAGACCAGTGAATGGTCTTCAAACTGGTGTCCCTATTTCCACCTTTTTCCCTCCTCTCCTCCCTGCACTATATTATTTCTCCACATGACAGCCAGAATCCACGTTCCTTCCTCTAAAATAAATTGGATGATATGACTTACCTAGCTAGAACTTTCAATAAATGTCCAACACATTATAGAATGTAATCCAACCAAAAATCCTTACCACACAGTCCCACACATACCTGTAGCCTGGCTTTCCCTGATCTGTCTATCTTCAGATTTAGCCCATTCAGCTATCCTCAAAGACTGCACAGCCTCCTGCCTTACATGGCATACAAGGCCTTTGGGACTTCCATGCTATTTTCTGTGTTGCAGGTTGTTTTTCAAGCCTTTCTCCCTCACCAGGATTACAAAATGGTATTTAAAATTCTAACACATGCTTTCCCTTATTGCCTAGCTTTTCTATGAAGAGAAAACTACTCCTTCTTCAATCTGATGATATTATCCTGATTGTGCCAAATTCCTATAAAAAAGCATACATAAAAAAGCAAGATGCTTTTGAAGAAAACTTTATTCTTTCCTTATTTTTTCTTTATTTGTCTTTTTCAAAATAGATATTGTGAAGTTAATAAAAATATATATATTTATCTTACCTGGCTTCTGGCAGCGCTGAACAGTTCCCAAAAAAACCTTGAATTTCCTTGAGTCGTTGTCATACAAGGCAGCAATTGTTATTCATAACAACTAACCATTATCTGAGCTTATGCTAATGAGGCAGGGTGGTGCCCAGCAGATACTCATAGATGGGGAGGTCACCCAGAAAGCAAAAAAAGTGCCAGAGGGTGGAATTAAGAGAGAGGAGGGGGTGCTGAGTCTGAGAGCAGACAAACTTTTGAACAAAGAGATTCCAAGAGATTCCCCAGTTGGTGAACAATAAGTTATGCCAGAAGGTGGCACACCCAGACAGGGTACGGGAAGCCTCCTCCGAAACCTCCCACCTTCCAGGCCTCCCTTGCCTCCCCATATATGCATCTCTTCCATTTAGCTATTCCCACTCTTTTATAACAACAATCAAAACCTGTTTTCCTGAAATTGTGAGCTGTTCTAAATCAACCTGCAGTATCAAACTGGGGAGTGTGGGCAGGATTGCAGGGACATCACGGTTTAGGAATTGGTAGTTGTACAGCCAAAATTACCAACAGTAAGCAGAAGAATAGCTCGGACAAGCTCTCTGTGGCTGGCACGCATCTCAAGTATAGATAGTCTCCAGGACGGGAGCCCTTTAAACTGTGTGAGTCTGACACCAACTCAGAGTAGAGTTGAATATCCAGTTTGGTATGTGAGAGGATGTGACAATTGTGAGAGATGTCATTCTAGCATCATCTAAAAGGTAGACCGGTGAGGGTTTTCAGTGCGTGTGCAAGTGCTCAATGCTTGCATTTAGCATCACATCACTGTCAAGGACGATTGATACTGATGATTCAAAAAACCACTGTTATCCTTAACATGTTCAAATCGTACACATCATTTCTGGCTGGTAGAAGTCTTACAAATTAAATTGCACCCAATCTGGACAAAATTCCCTAAGAAGGTC